GAAATTTGTTTTTTCCGATACTCCAGCGGGCATGGATGCATCGCGTGGCAGTAGTATTCAAAACTTACTACACTGTATATTTGAAGAATGGTATTTGAAAATTGAGTGAAATTGAAAATGTCAAGAAATCCCATTGTGTAAACTCTCTCAATTTTCTTTTCAAATGGAACCAGAAATAAAATGGAGAAATTTAAATGGAGTCACAATAGGATGGTTTTTGTAACCATAACCCTAGCCTAGCCAGAAAAGCATGCTCTTGAAAATACTGTACCATTTTAAGAGCATTTTTCAACTATATGAAAAATAGCCCTAAGAAGGTTCAATATTGAAGAGGATACATTTTTAAAACAGTTCTTGCATAGATTTGAATGTTTTAAACCCCATATATTGTGACTTGAGGGACATTCTCAAATCAAGTAATAGAGAGGCTCCCAGAGACAGATTTCAGAATTGCTCAGTTTAAACCTCCGCTAGGGTTAGGGTCAGGATTCCCTCAGTACTTAGACACTTTTTAGCTTCGTTGCTGTATTTTGGTTCCCAAGTGAATGCTAGGAATAAATTTCTCTTACCTGCAACTTTTATTTTTTGGATAGTCTGTCTGCTTGTCTAACACTGCACATTTGAAGAAGGGTATGCCAAAATGTAAAGAAAAACCCATTCCATTGTTCAAGCTCTCAATTTTGTCATTTTTAATGGAACCAGAAGTACAAATGGAGTCACAGTTGGTTGGTTCTTGTAACCCTAACCCTAGCCGAAAAATAAAAGTTAAAGATAGGAGAAAAGTATGACTCTTCTCAGCGTTCTTTTGGACCCCAAAATCCAGCAATGGAACTAAAAAGTGTCTAATTACTGTGGAATTCCTCACCCTAACCCTAGCTGGGGTTTAAACTGGGCAATTCTATAATCTGTCTCTAAAAGCCCCCATGTATGAGATTTGAAATTATTCATTCATTTGAAAAATGCTGTTAAAATGGTATTTACATGAGCATGCCAGAAAATATAACAATGAAGCTAAATAGTATCCACTGCTGGAAATCTAACCCTAACCCTAGCTGGGGCTGAATACTGAGCAATTCTGTAATCTGTCTCCGCAAGCCCTATATTTATGAGATTTGTATTATTTTATTTTTTACAGATCCCGCAAGATCTCCTGAGCATTGATGTGAGGGGTGAATTAGAATATGGTCATCATAGCTTCAGTATATATCATAGCTATCACAGAATCAGCTGCTTGATTCTGTGAAGGCGCAGAAGAGCTGTACATTTCACATGCTGTGACAGCTCAATGGTCCCGTGCTCTTCTGCTATCTCCAGGCAGATTGGGTAGGGGTAGAGCTGTGAGGCTTACTATTACTAGCACAATTCAGGACTTGCATGCTCGATATTTTAAGAACTGTGTGGCTGCTGTTTGGAACGATGAGACATTCTGAATAGATCAGTTGATTTATTACAATTCTTGGATGTGCATTCTTGATCTGTGAAAGATAAGATCTCTCTAGAGTCTGGATTTGAAAACCAGTGCGGTGTCCCAGTTCCATTCCACTAATGTTTCTGTAAAATACATAATGCCACAGGTAAATATCTGTGTAATTTTAAATTGTGGAAAAGAAACAATAAACACATAATACAGTACACCGTTTGGCACTAATTGGCACAAATGTAAAAGTTTACCAGGTTCAAGTCGAGGTGTCAAAAATAAGTAACAAGTGGAAATTGTGAAGACAGCACCATGCATTTAAATATAAAAACCCTTCCGTCAAGAGGTACATGTCCTGCCTTCCTTCTTTCCTGTGGGAGCGAAATGTTAAACATGCTAACTAGAAGTGTAGGAGAAGAGCAATCATCCTACAGATTGGACCTATTCTCATCCATACTACACCAGCCAATAGGAAAATGAGACAGAACCTGAGCTTTCACAGCAACAAGAGCTGACAAGAGCTCTAACAACATCTGCTGGATTAAAATGTGAAATAAAAAAGAGTAACAATTCAATGTATATCTTCTATTTCTCTTTATATTAGTGAGATACTTTTTACTACAAGAAGTGTTTAATATCTGACACACTCTTCATCTAGAATCTCAGGCTGTTAATTTAGCATAGCAAAAATACTCAAGGCATTTCTATTCTGAAAATTACTTCAGTAAACAAGATTAATAGACAATGTGTAGAACTATAACAGTACCAAAAGCCAATCCATTGTTTAATCTCTCTGGAGCAGTGTAACAGAAATTGTGATTGCATCCTACATGTCCTTCATAGCATTTTATGTTTAAATATGTGACTTTACACAACAGTATTAACCACTTTAATCTCAGACATGTGAAAGACAATATTTCTTTTTCCTCTTGAAGTCAATGACATTGCTACTCTAATTAGGGAATAAACAAAAAAACTCAGTAATACAGTGGGGAGAATAATTACTGATCAAGTTACCTAGGATACATGAACATACTGTTTACATTTATATAATGAAGTAGTACTGAAGCAATTCAAATATTTATCTTTGGTAAACAGTTTATATGGGACAAAAATAGTTCCATTACCAGGATAAAAACTGCTTTAACCTGGGTGGTGCAGATTCCAAATTTCCTTGTTTTGCCTATGCTAAGTTTGAAAAAAATGGGTCAAAGAATTCTTTAAGTTTTTCCATCAGCTGATCAAACATATTACTACATGGGGCCACTAGGTTGTGCTGTATGCACACTTTTGGAAAGCAGAGCATTATGCTATATACTGTACATAAAGGAGCAGTGTCTACGCCCCCACCAAAAAGGCATTTCATGAATTTCCAAGAGTAACTGTTAGTATGGTTAAGAGTTCCAGGAGATTTCTGAATTTCTGATCTCCAATTGGACAAATCATGAACTGTAAACTCCAACACTTTTTAGACGCTTCTCCTCAAATCAGATATTTCCATTGCAGTACACTTAGCACACATTTAAATATTTGTACCATACTAAGAGAGCTCTTGTCAGGTGTATATCATGATGCTGTACTAGTGTTTTCAAGTTCCTCCTAAACCACACTTTTACTGCATCTCTGCTCCTGGGAACTACTGTATGCTACCGGTAGAGTTAGGATTACTGCCAACCCTCCACATTTGGCCAGGAGTCTGATGAAATTCTGGACCACTCTCACACATCCTGCTACTGCCCAGAAGGCACTTTTGTCTTTGATCTGTTCTTTTCTAAGCACAACAAGCTTTTACAAGGATGGAGGACTAAAATGCATTAGCATTTCTTCTATAATTTTCAACTCTAGATTAACAACAAAAGAAAGTGAGATCAACCATGAAAAAAAGATCAAACAAAATCAAGCATATGGAATGTTTTTTAACAAAACTTGAGAATTTAATGTGAAAAAATACTTGTTTAATACAATACAATCAGGCTTTTCATCATTAGAAGAAAACTTGGCAGCTCTTTGCAATGATAGGTACCTAGCGCTCATCTGAGACTTCAAAAACACCACCCACTGGGTTTCTAAAATAAATCCTTGCCTGCTCATCAGTACCACATTTGCCGACATAAGGCAGCCGGAGGTCTCCATGTGGTCCCTGTTAAAAGTTTAACTCTTTGGTTTATTTTGCTTTAAAGGTTACGTGACATCCTAATTTTTAGGTTGTGTGGGTTGAGAGAAGAGAGATTCAGATGCTCCGAGAATTTGAGAACACTCCTGCCTCCAGAAAGATAAACATTCCAGTGGTGAACTAGAAGCCTGACAGTCAATGGGAGGTGAGGGGTCTGACAGGCCTGATGACACAGCCTGTGTGCCTGAGAGGCTAGGCGTTGCCCAGGGTTGAGACCTGGAAAATCGAAAAGGAGGAGAATAGTACTTGAATAGGCATCCCAAGAGAGCAGTTTTAGAACAGCACTAACACAACCAGAACCAAGGAATTGCATTTCCCTTATTTTCAATCAGACAGTACTCTCAGTCATTGGCTATTGAATAATATGCTTCCCCATGTCTAGTGAAGGAAATGTATACCCTATGTTAAAAGAATGGTTTACAAATAATTTTTAGAATTTAGATATTTAAGCATTACTAGCTGGCGATTGCTTATATTGGGCTAAGGGGGACAGGTTCCTCTGGTCCTGTTTTCTGGTAACCTCCTATATTTTAATATTCTGTATTATTTGGCTTGGTACCCTTTCATTAAATCCATCTGTACTAAACAATATAGCCCAATAAGTACTTGTGTTTAGGCAGTACTGAAGTAGGGTGCTATCATACTGTTCAGTGCATTAAATTAGAAACTCAGCCCTGGAGCAACAGCAATATTTCATAATTGCAAAGATAAAACATGTATTTCAAAGCAAAAATACTCAGTTCATGGACAAATAATGCAGTGATCTTATCCAGAATAACTAGATTAAGCAACCTGCTTTACAAGTACACTGAGAATCTTGAGAAAGATTAAGCAGGTACAGGACTGTAAGTGAAGTCATAAATTAGGTACAATTTAGGCAGATTTTGACCTTTAGGGCGATTCAGCTGTTTGATTACTGACATCTTCAGATGTCTTTTAAACTATGTAAGGATCTGAGGTGACAACACAAACGAAGTCCATCTAGAGCCATCACTAGAAATAAAGAATGACGCATGAGAGGCAGTATATTTACAAGAAAATAATTTAATTCAAACACAACTGTAATTTTTCTTGAAATATTACATCACACACCCTTGGTTTCTGAACGAAAACACACAAGTGACCTGTAATCCATTCTGAAATGTGGCAATAACCAGAATTGTCAAATAAAATTTGAATGTCCAAAAAAAATAAAAGTATACATAGATGTGTAAAGCCTTAAATGAGTAGTTATTTAGATACATTAAAAAACATTGATAAAATGGAAACATCAACCATTTTACATTCAGCCGAGAGTTACAATATAATTTGACCCTCACAACTCATATCTGCTTCATGCAGGCCTGTCATTTCTAAGGATCACACAGACAACTTGCTTTCTCGTCAGCAGCACTGCCTTTACATTACACATTCCCCCCCACCACTCTAGATTGGTTTCCATTAAAAAGCTGGTGTCAACAGGACACAGGTGTCTTCTGAGTGCCTGAGCCGTTTTAAAAGATCTCAGCAAGACTCCAATATGCCTCTTTGCTCAGAGGGGAAAAAGACTGAGGAACTAATAGCTGATGTTACAATTTCCTTCCTATGACTACAGTTTGCCCTCTTCCTTTTTAAAGATAAACATATAAAGATCTGGTTCCAAAATGACATATGCAGTTTATGCTCCTAAGCAGTCCTTTAACCTTAACTATTTGGAGAGAAATGGATATAAAGCATCTGCTTTGTGATCCCTTGCGTATATGTATAAGACCCTCCACACTCAGAATAATGTGGAGATTTTGCCCGCTGAAGTAGCAAAGGAAAGCCTCTTTACCATTATATACTGATTGTAAAAAGAAAAGACTACAAGACAATGACACAACTGCTACCAATGAAGAACAACATTTTTTTAGTAATTGAAATATCTCACTAACCATGTATTGCAATAAGAAAACAAACACACCATGGGGTATACATATAGAAAAAAAACTCATTTTCTATGTACTTCAAGTTAAATGTGTCTGTTACAGGTAACATGAGAAGTACCACCAAACAAACTTGGTCCCCAGTATAAATTATACATGGTAAATATGCAAGGTTTCACTAATGTAACGATTTTGCAGTTATAAATGTCGTTTCTCTCCCTTTATTATACACCCAGGAGTGGTGATTACACATACAGTACACATATAAGTAAGCACACACACATCCAATCGAACATCATAATCAACCATAATTTTAAAATAAAAATTATCAAAACAGGAAAAAGAGTGAAGAAAATAAATGCAGTTTAGCATCTGAAACTTTTCATGAAATAGACAAAAAAAAAAGGCATAACACAATAATGGAAGGAAGCTGCAGCAGAACCTTCAGCTTTAGCTGGTGTCTTGGTTGTATTCATTTTTCATCACAACCATCCACACTCAGATTAACCCTCCGAGGTCCAGTCTTTCACACCTCATCTGAGCATTTTTAATCTCCTATTTGCTTTCTGCTTTGGATTAAAATAATGCACATTTCCGAAGTAGTTTAAATTACTTATAGAGTCCAGAAAAACCTTAAAGCTAGTTACTGTATATATTTTATATCTATCCTGTTACCTGGAGCCGACGCTTATCTGCCTTATACTCTGGTCCTAGAAATGGCAACTCTACACACAGTATGACAAGGTTTACACTCCAAATCTATAGAAGGAGCCCTTGCAATATTATGAGTGTGCAAATCTAGTTCAGCTAGGCTCAATGTGCACCTAGGCACACTATTGTAACTTAAATGTAAAGATTAAGTGGAAACTTGGCAAAGAGGAGATTTTAAGTAAAATCATATGAAACAAAGACACTTTTCTGATGGATGAGTACGTGGCTGGTACTCAAAGAGTAAGCAGATCAAGTTAGAGACAGCTTGTTATTCTCCACTACATATTAATTAACATGGTCCTTAGAACAAAAGGTGTACACCAATGTTAGATTGGAGAAGGTTCCAGACTAGTTCTAGAAACAGTACTGTTTCTGTTTTCAAGATAAGCTGTCTTGATAGATCCTACTTGCCAACACCTTGAGACTGTGTGGTGAGCATTAAACAAAACTAAATTTGCAAAATAAAAATAAAAAATCCTAATACTCTCTGTGCTGCACAGTATGCCGCCATCCAGTTGAAAGACAATGCTGTTCAAATCCCTGGGGCTCTTTCTGAGATTAGATACAGAAAAATGAGCTCAGGGTATTTAGAACATTTCACTTTTATTAACCCTTACGGATTATTTTTGGTTTAACACTAAGGATTGTCAGAGTTGCTCTTCCTATACCCCAAAATAAAATTGTACATTCTATGCACCCCCTTCCCCAAACAAAATAGTAAATTCTATGCAGTATGGGTGTAAGGGTCAATGTGTCCATAAAAAGAATCTAACCTTTTAAAGATAAAGCAAAACCTAATACCTAACCTAAGGACTTGAATGTCATCTACAGAAAGTCCACAAAACCAGATTCCGGGAATGTTATGTATAAAGTAGGGAAATAAACCAGACGGAATATCACTCTCTAGAGTGATTGCTATAAGTGATTAATTGCAGTTTCATAACATGTTCATTTCTTATACAGTAAATGCTACTTATCAGATGGAAGTATTTTTTCATATTTTATCAAGTCTGTTCTGAGTTAACATTATTGTGTGGATTGGAAGAGAAAATAATGAGAAAAGGTGACAGTACATGAAGATACCAGAGATGATCAGAACTGAAAGCAACAACAGCTATAACAAAGTGAAAACAAATACAGAAAAAGAGCCAAAACCATGAATAGTATCTTTCACTCATCATTCGCTCAAAAAAAAACTCTCCCAAAACAGATCAGATCTCCAAGTAGTTACTCTACAGTAATTAAGTAGAAGCAGTTTTGGATTAGACTAATTCTGGGTGGGGGTTTGCCGTTAGTCCACTCACACACATTAATGCAGTATGCACACATGTCAACATTCAGGTTTCACTTTACCAACTCCCTTTTATCAACAGAGCACAACTGGAACCATGTTACCAGAAGCTACAACTAATTACTAGACTTTCCCCACAACAAATCAGCGAAATCATTTTCAGTGTCGACACCCCATTGACTACACGAAGACAACCGCAAGCTATATGATTTGACCTTCTGTGGGCCAAAATAGACCACAGAGAAATGCCATTCGGCATCCCTTCAGGGCACTGAAGAGAGATATCTTTTTCCCTCCAGCAGCAATTTAATTTTATTGCTATAGACATGGTCCAAGCGTACTTCTTCAATAAATGTAAATTTTTAAACTTCGATTCCTTGGTGTTACGAGACATTTTTTAAAACCGAGGATTAGACAATATGTCGGCCTGTAGAAACAATTAACAGTGCGAGGTATCATTGTTAAACCAGCACATTACCCAATCGATATGGTTCTTAATTAATGCCCTTCAAAAACCAAATGATGATGGTTATTAACAGCCTTATTACTGATGAGTTGGTTTAACAGTACAATTGTTGGAAAAAACACAAGTTCTAACAGACCGTTAAGTGAAGTAAAATGACAAACTGTTTTTTCTAAGGTTTCATTTTAAATGTTGTTGTAATCCACTGCAATGAAACTTGGCTAAACTGGTTACCTAACAATATTGAAGCACAGAGTAAAACTGAAATACACAGCAACCATCTACTCTTACAAATCATATACACCTTTCCTGGATGTTGAGGCAGTTAGAGAGAACATTTCTTTCCCAGTGTTTGTAATTTTGCGAACTAACAGATGGAAATTAGCAACATCTGATGTTTCTCACTTTCTCATGAGAGACTCAAGCATACTAAGTGAAAGGTAGAAGACAGAGTATAAACTTGCTCCTGATATTATTCTGTTCTAGTGTGGAGAAGAAAATTGTTCTTAAAAGTTCTTAGGACTTCTCTCCCTTGTTAAACTTACCACTACATAGAACTTGTGTTCATTTTTAGGATTTCATTAAATAAAAATTTCGGGAACCAAAACTACCAATTACAAAAAAGTAAAAGGAAAATTGTGATATAAAAATACAGGATGACTTTGCACAGAACCTCATGATGATTATCTCTATCTGATACTTAATTTGTAAAAGCACAGACTTCCCAAGAAAATACTCAGATCAGATTTAAGGAAGTAACTCCATGGCTCTACATTACAGTGATCAACTTCAAGGTTGAAGTTGGCAAAAGTTAATGTCCGGGAAATTAAAATGAAAAGGGAGACTAAAACGTTAATGCACTACAAAATAAAACAATTCAACATATCCTTTGAACAAAAAAAAAAACAGCTTTCAAAACTTAATCTCAGATATTTATAAAATTTAGCTTCTCAGTGCTTTGAGTTTAATGGGGTGCAAAGTGCAAACAGGATCTACACAGTGTAAACTCAGATTATTCCTCAGCAAAACAGTCGTGGCCATCCCTTAAGTGCCTAACAATAAACATAGATAGCTGACTGTTATGTGGAAGCTTTTGTTGTGCAAGTAATATTCCACTATGTTTTCTTACATTGGTAATATACACAAGTGCTGTGCATCAATAGTGCCTAACTAATCCCCTTATAAATGCTGACTTTTAACCATTTTAAAGAATCCTTCTAATTTTCGTTCCAGCATGTTCAAATATAGAGCTCCCTTTTCTGTGCCAAACCATGGAGGTGTTTTTTCCAAGAAACCAAGAAAACACAATAGCAGATTTTTTACAGAAAAAATAAAAATTAACATCTGTAAGAAAGTGGGCGTGAATGTAGGAGGAGTCGGTGACGAGGGTGTGACGAGAGGGGCGGGGCTGGGATGTATCTTAAGGTTTGTCCTCTGAGCAGTCCTTCTCACTCCTTGTCCCACTTTGGCACGGTGGTTTCTGTTTCTCCCACTGGCAGATGGCATTAGCATACCCGACTATCACCTTGTCCATCCATGTGAGAGGCTGAGGGAAGAGCACGGCACCCTCAAAGAAGCCCAGGTGTCCACCATGTAGCGTAAGAGCAAATATCACGTTTTCCTTTTTTTCTGCAAGAGAGCATAATAATGATTACAAATGAGATGAGCACATTGGGCCCATCTAACCTGAATGATCCAAGGATCTCAAGCAGCTGTTTCTTAAAGGAGGCCTGAGTATCAGCTTCAACAGCACGACTGGATAGCTTGTTCCATAAGCACACATCCCTTTGGGTAATGTTTGGTAAAGAAGCGCCCCCTGTCTTCCATTTTAAATGCAATTCTTTTCGTTTATGTTTGACTGACTGAAGGACATAGAGAGAAGAGGAGACACTTTCTGCAGTTTAGAGTCTGCACAGGGGTTTCTCTATTACCCAGGTGTGTCCCTATGTATTGGTTCGTGCTTAGCTGGAAAAACTCTAGGAGTTTTTTTAATGGCATTGTGGTAAGCAATAGAGCAGGGGAAAGAAAGAAAGATGGAGGGATAATGACTTAACAGATGCCAACAACAAAGAATAGGGGAAGAGAATAAAGCCAGAAGAGTGGAATTTGTAATCGACTATAATGGCAGTTCTAAAACATTTGTAGATGGCAATAGAATATTAAATTCACTGTACAGTAATTTCCAGAGAGGCACTATTACTTGCATATTTTTTTCTACATTTGAAGCTTTGTTGTACAATACAATGATCTATAATAACATAATGATGTACAATAATTATCTTGAAGTCTGCAGGTTTTCAAATACTGGTTTGAACCACACAGAATTCTGTATATATACTGTAATACATTTACTGCAAGTTCTGTAGAAGCAGACACTTTCCATTTCATCATGGACACAACTCCAGAAATTACTTCATCTGTCATATTAAAAGGCCATTTCACTTTTAGCCCTCCGACAGGAATGCTCATTAGCAACAGCATGATGGAAAGTAAATGACATACTGTAGAAACCAACCAGCATCATATTTTACCGTGCTGCAATACATATAAAAGAAGATGCCCTAGATATCAGAATATTTCATCCAAAAAGTGGTGAAATCAAAACCGCTGGCCCATAATTAGCTCCCCAGATGGACTTTATTTGCACTACACTGTGCTTGCTTTAAGGTGCCCGAAGACAGCTGGTACATAGAAACCCATATGTATTCAGAGTCCCTGAGACCTTAGGCAACAGATGTAGCTAATGCTTTCCAGTGTGCAGTGCCAAAGAGTCGAAGGGTTTATAAAGAGAAGAATGGAATGGAAGTGTGATGTTCACCTTACAGCTGAGAGTTGAGCAGACAGGAAAGATGATGTTTTACCGCAACAGTAAATATAAAGAAGTCAGTTTATAGAAACATCAAATCTGAGTAAAAAGTACACATTTGAGGGTAATACAGTTGTCTTCATTTAACAGTGAGTGAAAGTAAAAGAAAGCAGGTCTGTATGTTGTCCACTGCTGATTTTTGCAAGATTACAGGCTTTGCTAAATACACAAGTAATGAGGGAGGTACTGTAGATTCTTTTCCTGTTCTGGGCTGCACAGTATTACCCAAACAGCCTGAATTACACAAACTGTTTTCTCTAAAAGAGTTTTGGCCTATGGCAATATTTGACCTCAAGTTTTATGCAAGTAAGACATTTGGGAAGAGAAAGCAGGGCTAATGCTTCTCTCAAGTACTAAAGAAATGAATTCCAGTGCCTAACAGGGCACAGGACGTATTGCATTGCCTTGAAAAATTTAACCTAGTTAAAAAATAGTTGAAAACTTTAACCTAGTGCCTGAGCAAACGCAAAGCCCATTCTAATTAGAAACAGGCGGCCCCTTTCCCCCTAGGAAGTGCAGAAGAGAAAGTGAAAGACTAAACCAGGAAAGTAGTAGGATAGAAAGCTGAGTACTAAAAGCAAGAGTGGAGGTATCTGGGAGGGCAGGAAATCGACATTTTCCAGACACTTCTTCATCTCTAAATGTACTGCTGCAACATCACTCTTTCCTGTTTGTCTTACACATGCCTCCTACCAGCTATTCAAAAATGAAGCTGACATTTTATAAACAGAAACTGGAAAGAGATTTAACCTGGGGAAATATGGAAAACAGTCAGTTTATCTACAGTATGTGATGGTGGAAACTTCAGCGTGTGGGTGCAGAAAGCCAATATGCACTGGGATATTTCCAGTGTTCTGCTTCCTTGGGAAAATTATACACCCGGCATCCTGTCCATGGGTGGGCAGAGATCTTATTCATTTGTTGAAATGATAGGATGCATATAATATAATGCTATATAATTAAAGAATGTCCTATGCTTGGGCTCTGCTTTTAATTTTTCACTGTCCTGGTCTTTAAGCAACAATTTTTTAAACCCTATAACCTTCTGCATTTCTAGTCTCAATTTTTGTAATTTCAATAACCTCAGCAAAAATCCATCTTGACCTTTACACACATCTTCCTAATACTCCTCTTACCTGCGAGTGTGCGGGGGATAGTCAGCAGAGACTGGTGCACCAGTGGGTCATCTGCAGAGTTCACCAGCAGCAGTGGCACATTGACCTGGGATGATCACGAACAAGTTAACACTAGTGAGTATCAAACTGGAGAGGATAAAAAAAGCAGCTTTTAAAGAAAAGTGCTAGTTTCTTATGTTTTCTCAGGCATTTACATTCTTTACCGTTGATTCCCTCGCAGAATACTGATACTGCATTTGCTTCTTTCAGAAATCACTGACAGATCTTAAAAAGTGAAGAAGAAATGAAGAACATTTGTGAATCCAAAAACAAATTGGCAAGATGTGTATGTGAATAGCAGATAAAAAATTAAAAGCTCAAAACTGCTGGGAAATAATTACAAAAACCTCCTCTTCTATCAGATGAAAGTTTTCTTTAGCTTTCTCAAACTGTTCTATTTGTTCTTGAAAATGTGTGATCAGTGCCTCCATCTTATGTTACTTATACTGCAATGCTGCTCCAGCAGAGGTTTAAATATTTCATTTGTGTCAGTTCCTTTACTTTAGAATTTCTGCCTTCAGTTCATATATACTCGACCATGTGTGCAATCTGTAATCTCTGATTGACAAATCCCATCAAACTGCATAAACACTTTTCTAAAATTAAGCATTGAGGATGATATAACAATGGAGCAGCATTGCTGTGTTTTATACGTGGTAAACGGATTTGCATGCCGCCTTAGGGGTTGTGATGTTCTAGCTGTTTAACAGAATTATGCTATGGGTGGAACGCAACACGATTATCAGCAAGCGGGTTTTAGCACGGAAATGAAAAATACCTCACACAGGTTTGATAGCTAGTACCAATGTAAAAGTATTGCTGCATTAATTGACACAATTTCAGTGGCAGCTGGGAAATACTGTATATACTCTAGCCAACCTGCTTATTTCCCTAATGACTGCAGTGAGAAGAAGAGGAGAATAAAGTTTATACTAATGTGCCACAAGAAAAGAAGTTAAAAGTCTACTGTTTCACTGTTGTCTTACCCCTGGATTCCTCGCTTGGTCATGAATGTGATGACTTCACAATAATGGAAAAGAATGCTCCAATTTGACTTGTAAGAATCAATCAAAAGTCAGTAACAACAGAACATTGGCCATTGGAGCTTACTCTTCAATTGTTGGATTAAACACCCATGCTTCAACGTTGGTGGTGTTTGTGCCTGAATTTGTTCACATTCTTGTTTCAGACCATTCTGTTCCCAATCAATGAAGCACAGAACCAATTCTGAATGGTAACAACTCAAGTCGGGTTTCCGTGACCCCTTCTCCGCATAAAAGATCCATGAAACAACAATGAATTCAGAAAGCCCCAACACAACAGGCACTGCATTAACACACAAGAAAGTGGCTCCTTCTTGCAGAAGAAAAAGGAAATGTGAAGGGAAAACAAGTCATGTCATACTCACATTGTGGATATAATGTACGCAGCTCTCCTTCTCATAGTATTCCTTCAAGGAGTTATATCCATGGAATTTTCTACAAGACAAAATGTTGAATGCACAAAATCAATCAAATCCACTTTCCAAAATGCACGTGTAATGAATTTGCACAGCAGGCTTTTGTTTCCAATAAGGAACCCAACCAGGACTAAAGGAAACAAAACGATAAAAAAAACAACAAAGACTTCCACAGCTGTTGTTACACTCTATCCTAAAAAATACAAAATAATTAAAAAAACAAAACAGCTTTAGAACTGGGTAAATTGGTGCCACTGCCACTTATGCTCTGCCAAAACCGGTACACTGCACTGGCTCTCACCTCATGATGTTGTCATCGATCTGCATGAGAGAGGTGGCAGTGTAGAGCCGGCTTAGATCAGCATCCTCCATCATTAGTGGTCTCTTGCTTGAAGTTTCCCCAAACAGCATGCCCCTGCCACACACAACAGAAAGACTTAGCAACTCAAAGTTCCCACTAAAGAGCACTGTGCTTCTTTATGAAAACACACTTCGTCACGAACATTTATATTTTTATAAACATATGTCCTAGAGTTGCACAATTAGTGCAACATTACACAGGCACTGTCTGTTTTGTCTCATTTCTAAAAGTGAATTGCATGGTCTTATTAATTGCACAGTTAAAAACGCTTGTGTGTTATTTAGAATAGTATTTGCATTTCCACAGATGACGATGTAGATGTATTACGTATTTCCATATAACGATGTATTTCCACAGTGATGATGTTTGAACAGCTTGTATATGATAACGGACACCAGGAGAAAAATGGACCTAGGGTCTGTCAAAATAAAAACTAAATGTATGGTGTATGCTGTTTTTTTATTGGGATTAAGTATGACAGAAATGTAAGAACTTGAGTGTTTATGGCTTTTTTTTGGACTCATAAGTTGCTAATTGAGAAAGTACAAAGACCTGCAGTCATAGCTTTTCTCTCTTGCAGTGTTTTATATCACTGAGTGTTAAGCAAACCTGTTCTATCTCTAAAGCTTTATGCACCTGTGGGAGAGAATGATCTTCTTCATGTTATCTGCCATGAGGAAGTTGTAGAATCTTCTACACTGATCCCATTGCAGGAATGTCTCCTGGGCCCTGATTCAAAACACAAACAGGTATGAGAGGCTGTCTCCTTCAAACACTGTTAAATGGAACACAACAAGCAAAGACAAACAAGATCATGGATCGGACTCTTGGCATCTAAAATTTAACAGTGTACAAAAGGATCCACATGGTAAGCAGCGCATCTGTGGTTTTAAGCTGCATGAAGCTACACATGAAGGGGATCTGTAAATGTATGATGTAGAATTGTTAATGTCCTCTTCAAGGCAATGTAGGGAAACAAAACAAACTGAATGCTTGGGTACATAGAAAAAGTAAGAGATTTCAATCAAGAAAAGCTATGCTCCTGCTTTTAAATGCACTAGTAAGACTTCTTTTTCTGTTCAGGTCACCATACTACAAAAAGGACATTATAGCCTTAAAAAAAGAGGTCAATGATTAGTTCAAAAACATGTGAACACCTTCTAAGACTGAGAATCATATGAACAGGTCACAGGCTCTAGATCTATCTAGAGCCAATAAGATTTGACCAAGCCAGGAGACTGTTTCATACTCACTTGTGAGCATATCTCACAACTCGATAACAACGGAGCTGAGAACAGGAAACATTTTCACAAAGAGTAGTGGTTGTCTGAAACAGGTTTTCCAACCAGGTGGCTGAGGTTCAAACATCCTTACAAGAAGTGGTTAGATGATATTGTAAATCCACCTAGTTACTAAACTATCCAACAGTCAAGGTGAGCCTACTGGCTTCCTGTCCTTTACAGTCACTCATGTTCATAAATAAGAAGACAAACAATACTCTGTGCTGTCATGCAATTTCAGATGAATCTGAAAACAAATTAATAACTACAGTTAAAATATTAGTACTTCACATGGAACTGGTTTTCTTTTACATTGGAGAAAATCCTCCCAAAATCACAATAGATGTGCTTTAAAGTGAAAAAAAAAAATCCCTATAAACCAACTAGAGAGCCCTCCATGCAACAACATTAAAATGATAAATCCAGACTTCTGATTATTTGCACATTATACTGTATGTCATCTCGACTGTCCTGCCCAGGATATTACAGATGGTTTAAACAATAACAAGAACAAGAACATGATCGTTTTAACTGTGCTCTATTTCCTCCTCGTAAACAGGAAATCAAAGAACCAGGAAGCTACCAGAAAAGGAGCGGTTAGGTTTCAACCCTCAGGCAGCCCAGCCCTTGTGTGCTTCAACTCTGGGAAGAGTTCCCTGAAGTCATGCCAAATGCGATTCTGGCTACTTCCATATTTACAGAAGAGCACAGAAGAGAATACCCTAACAGGCTGATTCTAGACTGTTGCTTCTCGCATAACTCTCCAAAACATTTTACTCAAGTGCATAAGTTGACCTCATATTGCTCCTCTGAGGTCTGAATATCTATAATTGTAGTACGTTTTAGTACGACTTCAATTACATTTGCATAACAATATTATTAAGTAAGGCATTTTTATGGTATAACTTGAAAAGGTCTAGTACTGACTGCAGCTAGGTTTCTATATAAGCTGTTTACCATACATGATGGGGATGTGTTTATATTCTTAAATATTTTGCCATATTGATTTAAATAAAAAACATGTATTATATTGTTATGAAATGTCATCTAAGAGGTTCTACAATGCATTCCCTGTACCAAATATCACTCCCTTACAGCACCAAAATTTGAACATTTTTGTAATCTCTGGCATGGCAACAGATGCTGTCTTCATATGGGGCTGGTTTTAATTAGTTTAATGCCTTGGTCATGCTGCTGGGAGTTCAAATTGGCAGACACTCCAAAACAAAACCAGGTCAATAGGGAATAAATAAGCTCACACGAAATGAAAATGAACATTGTCCCTGAATAAACTAAGCTACCATTTTAACTTCATTTTCTCCAAAGCAGTAATGTTAAGTGCATTCTCCAAAACTCAACAAAAAATAACATTTTTTAAAGGACAGTGTGACAATTTCAAAATTACGGATTTATGTTTGTTGCTCTGACATTTTTCATCCTGTTTCATCAACTGAAGCATGTGCAGAATTCAAAATATAATGTTTCCATAAATCACATAATAGATGTGAAAGCGTAACCAGCCACAAGTCTCCCAGCATAACCGGAATTACTTCAGACCAATGGAATGAGTACAATGCTTTAAGTTTTAAAAACTATTTTCTTACTCACATTTTCACAGTGCAGCATAGAGAAAAGGAACTTAGTAAAGAAATAGCTAATTCTCACTGATTCAAGGCCCTCACAGAGATTACTTCACAAAAAAGTGCTCTTAATGTTTTATGCCACACATAATTACATGTCCTGTAACTGACTTTAAGAGACAGAAAACGGAATAAGAATGGTTCGCTGTGCATTCTTCCTACCATCAGTAAGGGATTAGAGAATGCATGCCTGGAAAAGTTTCAGGAATTCAGATTAGGCAGGCCAGAGGATGCTTCCCCATGACATCCCCCACTCCCCTGTGCTTGGAAAATTAGTCACATCAGCCGATTACTTTACTCTGCAGCAACCAAATTGTTGGCAGTATGTGGCAAACCCGAAATTAGCTCCATGATTCAGATGTTTTTACAGCATTCGTGCAAGCAGAATGTGTTAGGCAAGAGCCTTGCTTGCTGTGAATCAACAGAACAAAAAGAGATAACTCTAGTGTGATGGTAGAAAAAGAGTGTAATATAACAATTAACTGGATAAAAAGTTTCAAAGTTCAGGTTCTTGGCCAATAGGTGGTAATGAATGTGCAAAAACGACACAGCCAATTGTAAATATGTTCTTTTCCTTCTGAACCTTGACAGTCGGCCATAGCTTTCTTCTAACTGGCCACTCACCTGAGCGCACTGTACCCCTGACACACACTGACACAGCAGAGCACCCTCTCCTGGTTGGTGCGATTTTCTCCCAGGAACTTGCAGACAATGTTGCCTCCAAGGCTGAACCCCACCACAATCAACTGTGTCTGGGGGTATGCCTTCTTGATGTAGCTAACCATGGCACTGAATTCCCAAGTACAGCCTGAGAGGGCAAACAGGGTTAATCAATATAGCTATTGCTCCAGTCTTACAAATCACGGTGGCACAAAATGCAATATTTAGTGACATCAAAAGAAAAAACCTCAATGAGTAAGGAAGAACAGTCTGAAAAATTAAGAAAATTCAAAAATAGTCAACAGGAGTTCTTTCTCAACAGCAAAATGATGCTGTGCAATGTGCTGTGCATCCTTTCTAAATCAAGTGATCACTCTGAAGACTAGAAAAAAAGAGAGAGGTACTGCTGATTGACTAATGCTTAATGACACTTGCAGTGGTCCCGCGAACTGTGCTCGGCATCAGAAAGCAAGGGGAATGGTGGTGACTTTCTTTTTAAGACATTGCATAACCGAAATTTAATGAGGCAATCCAATATTATTAGTCACAGTAATTGTCGTGCTTTGTTCACGGATAAAATCTGTAGCTGTATTGTGACAGTATCATGTAACGATCTTCAAATCAAGCTGTAATTTAGAGACATCACTGACAATCTTACAAGCCTTACCATAGGTAAACATACGGGGAGAGGTTAGCTCAATGTTTGGCAGGGCTCCCAGGTGATTCAAAACAGCACACCTGTATCCCTGCTTCTGAGCATAATCCACAAAGGTGCGGATATAATGCTTCTCGCTGTGATTTCCAATTCCTGGACATATCACCATGGTGACTTCATCTGAAGATTAAAACGGAAGCAAGCAAATAGTATGGAATATGCAGTACAAACACGTTAAACATTTTGATACCCATGACCAGAAAACAGACAGCATGGTGGTGTGGGAGGCAGCACTTCATCTTGCAGCTCTGAGCCTGGGCTGCCTTCAATGTAGAGGTTACACTTGCCTGCATTTCTGTTTCTGCATTTCTCCAGGTTTTACAGTGTCTACAGTCCAAAGATATGCTGTCCAGGTTTACTAGTGTCTCTAAGCCAGCTAAGTCTTGTCAAAGCTAGAGCATGATACTGAGCAGCATTATGAATAAAACAAAAAAGAGCTACTTGGTCATGGTTTTCAGAAAATGAAAACCGGTTTTGACATTTCACACCGTCGCAGCCAGGACAACAGAATGCAGAAGTACAAGTAGTAATTTTATGCAAGCACCGTTTGTTTACCTTTTTACACAACAAATGTAAGACGCACTTCTTGAACAGCACCTTTACAATCCCATTTGGCTTCTAGAATCACTCTAGTTCTCTCACACAACGTGATTCAATCATAAAAACACAAGCAGTCCAGGCACTGGCACAGTAAAAAGCAAAATCCTTCTGCCTGACAATTCAGCTGGGGCATGTGGTTGCATGTTTATTTAAAAACAGCAGAGAGATGCCAGACAGATAGTGCAACTTCATATTTACCCAGAACAGGACTTGTTCCATTCGTGCCCAACTAGCACACACATTCCTCACCAAGGAGTATTGCAGTATCAGAGGAGCCACAAGGAAACAGAAATCCAGAACAGGCACGTTCTTCCCAAAAATATCCCTCTTACCTCCTGTGCAGTGGTCCCCCAAAGGCTCAAAGAGGTCAAAGGTGGCCGTGGCACCATCCTGCATTGGTAGGAACTTCCGGAGCCCATATGGATGTGGTGAGCTAACCCTGCCCATTTTGCCATATAGGGCTGTTTGCAGGTGCCCACTTTTACCCCACAGCAGGGGAGGAATGTACCTGTGTTAGGAACACAATAGTATTGTTCATCTGTTTTCTTCATTAACAGTGAGGCCAGAGTTTTCTAATAAACCTATTACAATAAAACAATTTAAACAAATCCATTTAAACAATCCATGGCCCAAAAAAGCTTAGTTAAAACATTGTCAATCTGTGGGAAACATTCCATGTACTGTAGTGCATTCTTAAAGAGACCACACTTTTCTATAGCAAGTGCTACTAATAATGAGACACCGTGAAGATTATGGGTTTTATGTCATGAAATAAACATGAAGACAGCTGAAAGTTCTCCTCCCTTTTGCCACAGCCTGATATACTGCCCTTCTTCTCCAGCTGAGACACTGCACATCATTCCAGCAATTTCTGCTCATTTAGTTTGAGAGCAAGAGGCAGGAAACTGACCAACACATGCAAATCACAGACTTCAATCTGTGCTTACTGGTTTAATGCACTGGCAGCACTAGGAACAGTTGATTTAACGAAGGAGGCAGATGGTGAAGCTGGGAAATCTAAAGGGTTTTTACAGTAAGTATACCTAAGCCACAATCCAGGCTGCAGCTGTTGAGTCAACATCAGGCTGTCTCCAACCTTACAGCCTTGACTATTTACCAGAACAAACCTGACTAAAAAAAAAAAAATCAAAAGACCATATCAGAGTTTTACTCCTGTGTTTTATATGTACACTAAAGTCTTGGCTTACACACTCTTCGTAGCCAAAGACAGGACTAGGACTTGTTAATGGTGAATTTCCTGGTAAATAATGCATTTCCTCACACATTTTTTAACTAGAAAGCATATACAGATGTGATTTGCATTATCTGATAATTGAATTAACTTATCACTTTAGTACATTTTCAATACACTCTTCAACTCTTCTTTTTATATGCTATAGTTTAACACGACTTTTCATTTGATAGCTATGAGGTAGGCTCACTATGATTATTAGGAAAAACTGGGTGGCTCACATGAATACAGGGAAAGCTTTCAGCATCCCAAAATGAACCTGCTTAAGATGGGTTGGCAGTATGCTCTACAATAATATTTAAACACCAACAACAAACAACAACCAAGTAGTTGGTTAGTGGTATCCGAACTGTAACCCAACTGTTAATGTTAAGGTCATCTATCGTAATCATGACTGATGCTTCCAAAGACAGCAAACTGCTTCCTGAATGGTACTTATTTCCATACAACCGAGCACCGACAAAAATTATCTGCATAATGGTACAAAAATGATATGCAGGAAGCAAAGTCCACTGTTGTATCCAGAGCTTTGCAAACATTTACAGTCCTTTCACTGAAATCAGATCACCTGTGTTATTTTTCTTGAAGCTCTTACATAAGCAATCATCTCCTCTTAATCCATCCACATTGAAAATGTCTACTGCATATTATCCATTATTCCACCCTTGCAAATCTAAATTGAGATGTTTTTGGATTTAAGATAAACCGTTATGTGCACCACTACTGTCCCAATTTCCTAGGCTATTAAATCTCTGGAACAAAATAAATTCATTAACAGTACTGATAGATTTTACAAATTGAACACAAAATAGTGAACCTTGTGAAAGTACTGTAAGTCACCATGCTATCACAAACCTCTAACCTCACCAGAGGCAAGAGCAAGAACTGTGATGTGGCCCTTCCTGCTCAGCAGTCACTGCAATAACTAATGTAACGTGATGTACGAGCGAATAAGTATATAGGTTGTACAGCAGACATTTCACAATAGAAATGTTCCAACGTGATCTGTATGCACAGTTAAGTAGTATTTGTTGGCAAAACCACCTCAAAATCGAAAAGCAGTATTTCTATGGAATTAAAAGAGATGCATTCATAAGCCTGCTTGTTTACAATCACGTCACCTGAAGTTTTGTTGCCTCATTTTGAATCAAAGAAAATTGTGCTGCGCATACCTGGAAATTTAATCTATTTTGTAATGTAAATTTGAAGGTTTACATGTTACTGTGTACATTTTTTTTGTTGTCTTTTGAAATGCACTGATCAATGTTGATTCTTTCTAACCCTGAAATATAAAAATAGTGTTACAGTTCCCCTTTAAATGTCAGCCACTAATTTTCCCCACTTTAGGAAACACAATGTAGGCCTACTGCACTTTGAGGTTAAAGTGTACTGTAGTGCTGTGGTGACACTGGTTAGCACAGTCCTCTCAAAGCAGGTACACAGTAATAACCTTTCATAAAATGTAAAGAGGGCTAACCACCTGATTTGCGTAAGCAACAGTTTAGATGGAAACAACCTAGGTAAAAGCACTACAGTAAATGTTATTTCCTGTATTTAAACCCAGATTATTCAATTCCAGATAATTTTAAAGCAAAAAAAATACATGAGCTGTTACTGAAAAGAAAAAAAACTTTTATAGTACAACACTTTTCCACTTCTTTTAATATTTATGTTTTTACTTTACAAACACTGTTTGTAACAGAAGCTGTAAATGAAGGTTTGCTGAAGTAATTTAAGTGCTGGTAGAAAAAATACCTGGTCTGACAGGTATTAACTGTGATTTGAAATACCCCTGTCAATGTCCATTATACTGTACATCCGTTCCTAGGAATAGTGGCTTGAGCCAAAGTCAGAATGACATAATCACAGCTAGACCGGCATATATAAAAGAAGAAAACCGATTAGACCTAATAGCTCTAATAAGTCATGTTAGGTAGCAAGCAAGATGAGAAGCAACCAGAACACAGGCACTGAGTAATGACAGCATAATTAGATTTTCTCTACATAAACCTCATAGATCCAATTATTGACAGTGAAGCCTAGATCTCACTCAGCAGTCTTAGTCAGAATATTGCTACTGAAGATTAATAGTAGAGAAGGATGTTTCTTGACCTGAATTACTGAAATTGCTGCATGAGTTTAAAATCAACATCTACTGCACTATGATTTCTATGGAAAGGTTCTTCAAAAAGCAAAGAAGTCACAAAAAAGGAAATAACAGTATCTATTGCATATTAGATCTCAACTAGTTGATACATCTTAAATAATTCTCACTGCAAACTTCAAGCATAGCTGTGAACAATGTGATGCATTTTTCAACAAAGGAATGATACAAATTCAAGGACTGGCTGCTTCATTTTAAATTTAGAATCTACAGTGACTTCATGCTTCTAGAATTCCTTTCTATAAGATCATCATTTACTGTCTAAGAACAAGCACAGAAGACAAGTTTAAAAGTTTCAAGGGGCAAGGTGCTAAAATCTGGTACACCACACACTTCTGATAAGAAGTCTCATCTTTAGACTGTTGACCGAGCTTCTCTGTCACGTCCTTCTGAAACTGCAGTGTGTACACTTTTAGCCCTTAGTAAGGTGTACTAACCATAATGGAAATGATGACATTATGTAACAGCGTGGTCCGTCACGTTTAATAAAAAGGGAAAGCTGGTTATGTGAACCCTGACAGTACTGTATTTGTAAGGAGATTTAAACAACCTCTTGAAAGCAAATGAATAGAAGTACTCATGGAAATTCTGACTTCCCACTAAAGAACAACTTCAAATGCTTAATAACATGCAGAACAGCCCATTCACGGTTTCAAATATCAAGATACTGTAAGAGAGTTGAGACTATTCTGTAACGCAATATGGAGTGTTACAATGTTACTCTACAGAAACCTCAACAGGACTCATTTATTCACTATGGGCAGGTCAATTTGCGCTTTATTCCGATTCGGTGTCCGCTGTGAGGTAGTAGAATTAAGGGCTGAAAGTTGGCTGAAACCCAACTGCCTTGCCTGAAGGTACTGTGCTCCCCATTTTTATAGCTAAGAGAGTAAAACGAAAGTGAGGAATCTCACATCACCATCTTCAAAGATGAAAAATCAGTTTTGCCATATTATGAAGGTTTAGCGATAGAGGACAGACATGGAGGTGTTCGGACGGGGGGGGGGGGGGGGGGGGGGGGGGGGGTGGAGACACCTCCGGAGGAGGAGACTGGCAATACTCACTCTTTGGTCAGCAGGGGACAGGATTTCAGCACGAAGCGGTTGAGCGGAGTGGCCTGGTATGTGAGTTCAGGAGGAGCAGTGGGGCTCTTGAGGTTTAGGCAGCGCACGATGATGTAGAGCACAGCCGCCACAGCTGCCAGCTTCATCCCGTCAAACATCGCTGGCATCTCGGGGGCAATGGTGTGGACTTCAGCCTCGTTATTCATGGTGGATCTGAGGCAAACCAACAGCAATGCAGGGCGTGCGAGTTAAAATGCATTGGAAATCAATTCATCGTGGACTATACCAAAAACATTCTCTCTCCAAATATAAATAAGGGAATATGTGATGTGATTAAAGAATGAAATTCTGTAATCACAGGGGCAGAGGGTAATCTACAGTATAAGGAAAAAAGACATACTTGTTGCACCCTTTATAAGATGAGATATGATAAATTGAGATTGCTTTACAATTTGTCAGGTTTTTAAACTGTATTTTGTACTATAAATGCCGCATAAATCAGTATACACAACAGAAGTGTCTACCAAAATAACCACAAGAGTAACTGTCAAACTGTACTTCGCTTACCACGCTGGCTTCTTTTCCTGTATATAAATGTATTATCTTTCTTATCCACAGTCTTCCTGACTGTGCAAAATGTTCTGCGTCACAGTGTTCCGGTCAGATCTGCAATTAACAAAGACAAGGATGATTGCCCTGTTCGTACTGTAAAGATAACACAATCTGCTGTCAAGCAATATGTACAGTTGAGAGGACAAGAGTCAACAGTGCTACCATTCTAGAAGGTGAGCTTTCAGATTCCCCAGATTGGAAATGCTATGTATAGACTAAAACAAGATTTAGTAGGGTAACAATAGTGTTAACAGGGTTGCTTCAGGCCTTGGATAAAGAGATTGAGCTGCATTTTTTTACATCTCAGAAGAAAAATAAATTGTAATCAGCCCTGTCCTCAACTGCTCTCGTGTAGACATGACAACTACAATCTTCACCATTAAAATGTTGAAAAAAAATATCTAAATGTATGAAATTTCGATTTATTTACAGATCATAAAAAGTTTCATTCAACAAAAAGATGTTTTTATTTTTCTACTGAACCTATACTGCTATTCTTCAATGTAAAGCAAAATTTTTGCTTTCTTTTCATGATCAAGGCCTCAATACAACAATACCCAGGCTCATCTGTAAACCACACCTGAAAGTTTTGCTGCAGTCAGGCATCTTGTTACTGCACTACCTTTCATGTGAAATCTCCCATGTTTTCAGTGTTTAATTTACAATGTACACTTTAAACAGCAATTAGTCACTGCATTCTCAATAGATCCCAATTTAACAAAATTACACCCTCTGGGTTTACTTTTTTCATGCTTCTTTAATTTTACTGTAGTTGTGAGCATCATACACTACTTTTCCATTTGATAACTTGTTCTGTTGTTGTATACTGAATGGATCAACTGCTAAACTACTGCACTGAAATGTAGTTAAACAAGCTTTGCAGTCAGTAATCAGAGTCACCTGTAAACAGTGCTTGAGGCAGAGGTATTGAAGAGGCAAAAATGTTATGGCTGAGATGTAAAGTGAAAAGCAGCTCCTGCTTTATACTGTACTGTAAATAACAGATTTTGAGTGTTTTTAACCTGGAAAGAGAATCTGGTGATGCTAAGTTTATTATTTCATGTGACATACTCTTTAAACACTGACAACACAGAACACTAAAAACAACACGGCATGCATATTTTCATTTATACTGCAAAGTTATATTTCACAGAAACAGAAACCATTTCAAATCACATGCATTGGACAGAAAGCCTTTTGAGACTACGGCCATTTCCATTGACAACTCTACTTCAGCAGTTGCCAAACTGTCAAGTTCTGAATTCTCTCTCCCCAATAATGTTCTACCCTAACCTCCAAGAACCATGGTGATGTTTTACACTAGCCTATGAGACCTGTAAAGAATATTTATTTTTTTAAAACACATCAGGTGATAGCAGTCACAACAGTAGTGTTTTCCAAACTAACTATAAACTATATAAACTGTAACTATAAAGCACAACTATTCAACCTATGGCCCTTCCGATTTTCTCCACTGCAGACATTCAATACAGCCCAATAGAGCCAGAGTCCTAACTGTTACATTGGTTTAGCCAATTATCAATTAAAATATTAAAGCAACTGGTTGCAAGAAAAGTCTGTGACTGAGTAGACTGGTATGACCAAAGATTGAAAAGCCCTGAGGCAACCAACAGCAAACTGGGCCAAGAGGCCTGCTAACCACTGCAAGCTTTCTTACTGTTGGGCACTGGATCTGATGGAAGGATTCTGTAGAAATGAGTGAGGAGTTGAGAATAAAGGTAATTTAGAACAAAGATGCACTTTTAATACCAAAGGTTTTCCATGACTCCTTGTCATCTGGGTAAAGCATTAAACAGACCCAGTGAACGTTAACCTGGTCCAGTCTACCCTGTCTCCACAGACTTAACCTGCTGATGATTTTAAAAAGTCACAGACAACCCGAGAGGGAACCCGTGTTTTAAATCACTCTTAGATTCACTCTGATGGCACATAAAAAAGCTTGGATTCTCTTGGTCATCTCTCAGATGCGTAAAAGATGTGAGGGATTAATTTTCCACAGTTTTACAGGCAATGCAATTGTACCTTAGAGTTTCATTATGCGTTATAAATTAACATTTGATCGCCTTATGGGTATGTTAATGCAGGTGAAGCACATGAATAACACAAAGCACAGAATGGATTAAAAACACTATGTAGTAGTTACGACAGATTAGGCTATAGGCTACCATGCCCATTATAACCCAATACAGTTGTCCCTTTTAATGCCACTGCCTGTTATAATGCCAGCCTCAAATATCCCCAATCCTAATTCCAGCCTGTGGCGTGGTGGCACACAGAGGCAGAGCTGAAGATGTGATGTGATAATATAACAGAACAGTGCAATGAACAGAACAGTGAAGCAACGAAACTTACATCCACCATGATTTAATCTTCTATATTATCTTTCACACATGTAAAATATTCTTAAGTCTCTCAAGTCTTCTTAAGACTTAATGAAGTTGCCACAATCAATTAGTGGCAACATTCACCTTCATTTATAAAACCATCTCATTATCCACATGACTAAAATACAATTAAGATTAAAAAATATGTACTGAAGAATAGGAACTTATGATTAACAATTTAAACTACATCTTTGTTATCCAGAAAAAGAAACTTGCACTCGCACACTGCTTAGTCATGGTGCTCAGAGACCTGGAACGGTTCTTGGTGACAAAGAATTTCCAGCTCAGTGATTTCACTTGACAGAACCATCTAGATTAGAATATTAATCACTGGTGGGACGATAAGCAAAGCCTGATTATGGATAGTCTAAAACTGAACTGGTTTATACAATATAGCAAACTTATTAGGTCCATAAGATATGCATCTTTCTTCCTCACAAAACTGGGCATGTTTTTACATATTTTAAATAAGGTCTAAGCAAAGGCAGTAAGATGTCAGGAAGCAGAACAGGCAATAGATCTTAGCGGAATTCTACAGCCCTAACGAGAGTGTTTGGATGTTTGCTGTGATAAAAGAAAAACGTTTTTTTTTTTTTTACCCCAAATGATAGACATGTTAAGCTGAGCAAAATGTGCTCCTCCCTGTTATGTGCAGCCCTGAGGATACAGAAGTAGCCTGGGAAAATCATGAGTCACAAAATACACAACCTGTCAGCTGTGGGAGAGGCTACATTTCTTCTGAGACTTCTTCTCCAAGCAGCGAGGTTAACAACAGACCAGTGAATCAGTGGAGTGAGTCTTAAATCCACTCTTTAGATGGACCTACAAAGATACTGACTTACTATTCCTTCTACTCTTTTTATTCTCACGAGTTTACTGAATCTTACCAAACAAATAGACAAGAAGAGTGAATAAATAAATTATATAGGAACAAGGAATCAGATATGTATTGTACAAACTACAAAGATTCTTAAAGACGTCAGCATATACTGTAGATAAGAGGTCTGGCTGTGGATTAACCCTGAAAATCTATTTCACATCTTGTTCCCGATACTGAAGAGGAATCTGGATGCTCAGTTTTAAAATTGCCTTTACTGATGGTTGCTCTTGAATGTACATGGCTGACTATAACCTTGGGGAAAGGAGATAAATCATTGCACAATGAAGTGGATTCCTTTTCCTGGGCTAACCGGATCCCTCATCCTGTAATTCCAACCTTTCAAAAGCTTCTGAAAACTTTAAAAACCCAAGTGAATGCGTGAAACTACTAGACATACAGCCTAGTAAATAGAACTACAACTTTTTTTTTAAGAAAACAAATAATAGTTATTGTAATTATAACATTTAATCCTACTCAACCTATGACTTTAGCTCCTGTAACTGTCCAAGGCGAAAGTAAACAGTTTATAAAGTAATTCATCTAAATGCAGTTGTCCTTCGGAAGGAGAAAGGATTCAAAACATTATGATCTCAACACTACCAATATGTAACAATAAGACTCTCCACTGGCATTTCCAGTCATAACAAAGGTTATGAAGAGACCCAGAAATATTCCCACCTTTTGCGAAGCTCAAGGTTGAATATATTTGCATTAAAAAAAAGATATGCCCCTACAACGTAAATACAATAAGATGTGGAAAATGTCTAAATTAGCATTTGAGATATGCTTCTACCTTTACTGTATTTCACTGGATTCATAAAATACAGCAGCTTAAATTTTGTGTTTTGGTCATTTAACCCAAATGCCTAACAATTTCCTTGCAGGAAGAAATTTAACATACTGTATACTTGTTTTAAAACACAAAACAACTGCTACATACCCAGCAATGCACCATATTCAATATCTGTTTTTGTCACCCAGCTGTTTCAGTTTGGATTGGCTAAATCACTATGTTAATGTTTTCAGAATAATTTAAGGCATCAGATGGCCATTTCACAGATTGGCCATATTGAACATAATATTTGAGGCCATGTTATATGGGATTGTGCCAAATGGAATGAAATGCTAGACCATTCTATATCTGTAGCACACAGATCACCCAGATTGAGAAAAATCAACCACTCTGAGTGTGACCTGTTTTCGTTATGCCCTAATCTCTCTGGAACACAAATATTATACATCAGCCCCATTCCAACTGCTGTGACTACTCTATAAATACCTGGGGGGATGGGGATGCTGACCTCTGCTTTTTAATGTCTATATTCAATAATCTTCCTTCAGTCTCCGTCTTGGATGCTTACAGATATTTTAAAAGGCACATGTGTCCCGGAAATTATTTTACCTTCCTACTTACATGTAACAATCGGTTAACTATACTCTTGCGCTGATCTCCTTGGTGAAGATGCTTCTTTTGACAACACCCATTGATCATCCATGCATGGATGTTCAGGTTTAGAGTTTTAAAGCAGTGGTGTGCTCATAAATTTCAAAAGACAAGCTGTGGAGTACAGCTGCCCCTCCAACCCCAAAATCCCTTCTTTCTTGTCTCTCTTTTCTATATACCAATGGTCTATTTTCTCTCCAAATGAACAAACACAGCTGCACTATATGGCACGTTCACCTCATCCAGTGTGTGATGTAAAAGAAGAAATTGATAGAAAAAAAATAAAAGCAAACAGCACAGTATGATGGGATGAGAAGATCTGCATCAACACACTACACACATGTCCCGTTAGCCCCCATGACCCCTGTCTGCCTTCTGTACTGTACCATACCGTATTGCATTGAAATGCTCTCTGAGAGGACCAGCCACAGGAAGGAGGATCCTTAAAACCCATAACCCAGCAACGATATAGAACATCGCCATCCCAGAAATTGTAGCATTGGAGACACTTCGACCGCATGGACCCCATGTGACCGCCCAAACAGCCCTGGTGATCTGGACAGACCTTCCTGGGGGAAGTAGAATCAAGTCAGCCAAAGACAGATTGAGCGGATGAAATGGGTTCTGTATACGTGAAATGGCTCTTTACAAATACACAATAGCTAAGTAAGACATTAGGATACATATTCCAATGTACATCTGAACAGATCTAGAGACTCACAGGACATTGACAGGCATTAACTGACTCTAAAACATTTTTGGTTCTGAATTTTTCTTTTAGTAATCCTCCAAATATAGTACTATGCATTTTCTTTACCCGAAAAAGAACTTAATCATAATCATATAATAAAAAAGCTACAAAGAAACTCATCTGTCTGAATTCTTTTCAAGAAAAACCTGAATCTCATGGGTAAGATGTAACAAACATTTTACTGTCTTCTGATATTTATTATTTTGACACAGATTTTTGCAAATGTTATGGTTCCGTTTTAACACAACAGTGATGCATCTCCTGTAAAAGTTTGTATGGTTTATTAAAATAAACCAACATTTCTTCAGGTATGATGATTCACTTTAAGCCAAGTAAAAGATCAAAAATCATTCCTAATGTATAACGCATTTTTCCACTAGAGAATTCTGTGGGTTTAAAGAACAGTTTGCAGCACAGAAAGAAGACAGTTGTACAATTATAATCATGAAATAATACATTAAAAAATAACCTCAATTGCATGCTTTTAACATACTTTTACACAGCATGCAAAACACAATTATCGTGCAAAATAAAACCCCTCACATTTTATATCATTCCTCATACATTCTTACTAACATCAATACTATAAATAAAACTATTCACTTTATCATTTATTAGAGTTTTGTTTTTGGACAGGCTGCCCAGCAGTGGGAGACCACACTCATTCAACTGTACTGCTTTTCAGGGTTCCTCCATCATCTAGATAAGTACAAAAGTATATTCAATGCTCAACCTCACCCATTCAATGATGGCATTTTATATTTTTAAACAAAACTATCCATTCATTATTTTCTTCATGTCTTCTCATTTAAAAAAACCATGCATTGTCTCTCTTTTTTAACATTAATATAGCACTTTTCTAAAGTGCTTTACATATAGGAGGGTACCCACTTCATCCAGCACTGAGGTAAGCACCCAACAGGGTTACATAAGACAGTCATTATGCACCAAAAGCCCCAAAATGCCACACAGCAGTTAGAGAAAATAGGAATTCACCATTTCAGTGGAACGTTTATGGTACCAGCACCTCATAATGCACAGGCTTCCCTAGAGAAAGCCTCCCTATTCTTAGAAACAATGTTATGGGATCATTAACAGAGGATTGCATCTTCAACAGCACAGTGCCCCCATATTGGCACAATGGTACCAAATGGTACCATCTAATGGTCCAGAAACACCACTCAGCCTACAGCTGTAGTCTGGTATTCACTGGAGGTCTCCTATCCCAGCCGTGCTTAAGATTTTGAGATGTCACAAGAGCTAAAAGGTGGGAACTCTGCTGTCGCAGACTTGATTCTCATCATTACTCTCATCAAGCAACACCTAAATTATCCCACTGGCACCGAATATCTGAATGGAAAAGAGCGCACAAATAATGTGCACAGTAACTAACAGCTCAAAAACTACCTGGGGTCACACAAAAGACACAATAATAATAAAAATACCAACAAAACCTTAGGAAAAGTGTCCTCTTCTTGAAACATAAAAAGTTAATTAGACCTACAGTACATCAATCCCAATATTAAAAAGTCATCTCCACCATAAAGACAGGGAACAGAGGGGACACTACAGTAAATCTGACCAGCTCAAAGCTCAAAATTCAAAAGAGCAGCTTTAAAAACTGATAGTTGTGTTTACTGTATGTTAAAAGAACATGAATGTACTGCTGGAGAGGGTACAGATACGCAAACAAATGTAACATTATTGATAGAAGGGGAGGCAGTGAATTTCAATGCTAACACTGGAGAATCACTCAGGTGCAGAGAAGTCAATCTATTCTAAAGGCATCGAGAGGCGGATTGTTCATTTATAGATGCAGGCCCATTGATACAACTCATTAACCCTTAGCTCCCTAGCGCTACACACCCACAGGTTTAAAAAAACGCCGTGGATACTTAGCATTAAAATTCAAAATTCCACTATGCTATAGAATAAAGGTCATTAGAGCATGTCCTTTGAGAATTTCGTCATATCGCCTTCTTTAAAATGTCTTCATAACATTGCAATCACGGTTTGACGTTTAACAATAATTACAAAAAACAAATCAATTCAGACGGGAATCATTACCCACAGAATACCCGAAATAATACGAAGACCTACAGTACAGTATATAATGCCCAGTATATCTGTTCGAACACTTAGAAACAAATTCACATTGCTTCTATACACCTAAACATCCATTTTGTCCACGTCTGGGATTAAACTACAAAATAACAAGATGCAGACATCGCGATGGAGGATAGAAAATGCGTCATGCACGCAAAAGATCATACAGTATATTTAATACCTGGCCACCGCAGTAATCCACGCCAGAAGGGATGTGCAAGTCTGGAATACAGACCGAGCTGTCCCAGGCCCAAAACACCCAGAACAACAACTGCTTCTGTGGTTAGGGTGTCTCGGCGGAACCGCCTCTTGATGACTTAGTATAAGTCAGCTGGTGCTGTCGTGAGTTGTTTTGTTTTTGCCTTATTTGATGGAGATTAAAACCAGGAAGAATACTCTGTTTTTAAACACTACCTCAAAAGCTGAGACTGCTCTGGCACAGACGTCCATTTCAACAAAACGAGTTAAAAGAAGCAGCTTCCCCCCGTTACAGTATGATGAGATAAAGCGTTTACTAAACCGCAATTACTTCCTTTTTGTGCTAGAAAATACGTCGCATCCCAATTCAAAATATTTGAAGGAATGACATATTCTAAGTTGAAAGCTATGCTTTTTATTTAGTATTTAGTTCTGACAAGATACTGTAGGTTTATCATTTTCATGGAGACTATTTACAAAATGAAACCATTTCATAGTTTGTCTTCGAAAAATTGTCATCTGTTTTTAAGAGCAACAGTTCAAATGACATTACAGCGGTGCCTCTTTGAAGAAAAAAAAAATCACACTTAAGTGTTTTTGTGTTATTAAAATCGAAACACAAAAGCCACAGGTTTCCACGAAACACTGTTAAACCTAGGAATTTAATAGAAACGTTGCAAGACGTTAAAAGAGTGATGTCTTGCAATAACGACTGCCGGGTTCTCGAAGCTTTCTATCACGATATTGGCGGCAGATACCGGCTGTCAAAGAGCAGAACTGCGTTCGTGTCTGTCCAAGGCCCTCTCCGCTACCCAGCGCCTTCGCCGATACAGCTTCATTTCCAAAACAACATTTAACGAGTACACTTTAAAAAGCGTTTTAAAGCAACGATACAGTCAGCGTGCACGGGCTTCACTGGGAACGCGAAGCCAACTATTAACGAGATTAAAGCGCACCCCAGCAAAAGATCAGACACCAGCTGCACCGACAACGATTAAAAGGAGACGTCCAACAGAAAACATACTGTGCCTCTTCACGGTTCTCCGTTTGCGCGTCTTCCCTTCCAAACCCCTTACTTTCCATGCAGTTTCTTTCTCGGAGGTGTTTATCGCTGCATTATATACTGATGCTGCATCCACTTTCTGGTCTTTTCCTCCCAGCCCTCAGAGACATTAAGGTAACTACCGATACCTGGCAGTGGCAGATCTCACTTCCTACTGTAGAAGCTCATTAGCATGTCTTCCCTTGTGTTGGGCCTCACACTGCTGTCCGTCACTCCTCGGACGCCGCTCAGTGGCTTCCAGCCCTGTCAATCACCCGCCCTGCACCCCGGTTTCTCCTCGGGATTGGATTAAAAAATCCGGTAGACCCGCCCCCCCCCCATTTAGTCCGTACAGCGTGCTGGTGCTTGAAAAACGTGACCAGGCGCGGTTGATTGGTCAATCCATCACGACAATTGCAGGTTATACAAGTTATTTTTTTTACGTTGCGTAGCTCTGTCCTTTTCAAAAGGAAAGACGAAGGCTTGAGAGGATTGTTTATCAGGGACTTCGCTGGAAATAACAAACGGCCTGCTCGTTGATCTTTCCGTCTGTTCTTGGATATACAGTGTACAGTTATATGTCAACTAAAATTTAAACGCACTTCTTGAAATACCCAGTAATCCTGATTTAAATCTGTAATTTTAGTGGCATCCTGGGAGATTTTGGGGTTACTGTTATTGTTGACACTATTGCATTAGCACTGATACAAGGATGACGATTTCACATCAAATTAAATATTTACAATTCATTGCATTGATATAGTATCGTAATGCAACGGGGGCTCAGACGGGCGCCCTTGCCGCATTAGGTCGGCCCCCCACCGTCGGGGGCTCGAACCCGGGACTCCCGCGTCGCTCTGCAGAGACCCAGCCCGGTGAGCTAAAGAGAGATCTCTCTACAGCCCAGTAGCTCTAGTCCTGCAATCACAGGGAAGGGCGGCGACGTCACCGCTCTGGTAAGCCGGCTCTTACACAGTGCCTGTCGGCCGTAAGCCTTACAGTATACAGTAGGTTCCGCCCTTTACTGTTCCTGACTTTCAACGCCTAAATAATCTGGCTCCTACATACTGTACATCTCTGACCTCCTCCATGTTTACACTCCCTCCCGTAGTCTCCGTTGACCCGAGGCAGGTCCTTTGCTCACTGTACTAAATCTCGTTCGTTCGGAGACCACGCCTTCTCTGTCGCTACTAGTGTTTTGGAATGCCCTTCCTCAGACTCTACGAGGTACAAATCCTTTGACTCTCTTCAAATCCAAATTCAAAACTCACCTTTTTTACTCCAGCCAATGTCTCCTTGCCCTACATTTGTATTAATTAACATGTACTGTATACTCTAATTTATTTTACTTTTTATCGTACCTTCCACATCCATAACCCACCAGGTTACATAGAGCAGCCAGGAGCGGAAGGAAACAGCATCACTACGTGATTCAGTGTGGAACTTTGAAGACGGAAATATTGGAATTAGTATCATGGGTTCTTTAATGAGCAAATGGTCCGAACCTTAACATTTCATCCAAAGGACAGCGCCTCCTGTACCGCAGAATCTATTGTCATCTTTCTGGGAATTTCTCTCCAGAGGGAAAGCTGCATCCTGGTTTCCTCCTCGAGTCCTCTTACACCTTTACTGACCAGAGCCAGCCTTGAATTGGCTCTCAGATCCGAAAAAAGTCATAATGCTTGTTGAGAGGCACTCCTCCATCATCATAAGATGTACAGTATGCTGTCCTCTGCTCGTCTTTTTCAAAATGTGAAGTGGCATGTTCAAGTCTTGGGTTTATGTTTTTCACTTTTACTGTGCCACCTCTAAACTGGTATTTAATGCGCATGGCATTTCAAAAACTACTATCAACCGAATGCACAATTCAAGATAAAATAATATCAGATAAAAAAATCACACAAGGGAATGAGTTAGTTATAAACAAATGACCAATGCTGAAACAAAAATGGCCAGAAATGCTTTTCTGTTAAGAAAAACTTTTCATCGGTTTTCAATGCTGGCAAATGACACAATGCCTCAGTGGTGGGCAACCTTAGGTGCACACAGTGTGTATGGCCCCAGCATTAAATTCAAAAGAAATTGTAAAACCAAGAGTGCCTGTACATTATTTCAGTATTTGGGGTAAACCATTTTGAGAACATCTTTACGGTTACTGAAACATGCTTTGTAATACTGTTAGAATCCCTTTGGGGGTCATAGACAAGGGCTGTAGCTAGTCTAAGGGACACAGGTGCCTCACTGCTGTTACAGGTAATGACACTGCAGGAACACCTGTCTGCTGCTGTTTACCCAATTATGGCTGACTAGCTGCTAGCTCCTAAATTCTAAATTCGAGGGTGGGATATATGCCTGACAACCATTGCGTATAAACTAATGCATGCTTTCCTCATGGTTCTCAGCATTGCTGAGTGATATTGTCATGTCATTTGCCAAAGCACTTCATACCATACGGTGTTGCAGGAAGCCGGAGCCTACCCAGCAAGCAACAAGTACAAAGCAGGGTTCACCCTGGAAGCGGGCGCCAGTCCATTGCAGGGCAAGTGCAAGCCAATCATACATGGGGACAATTTGGAGGCCACGGGAAAGGCTGAGGGGGGAAATTGGGCCCAGGCACTGGGATAACTCCTTACTCTTATTGAGAAATGCCCAGGGATCTTTAATGACCATTGGTCAGTACCTGGATGGGAGACCTCCTGCGAAAAACTAAGGTTGCTGCTGGAAGAGGTGTTAGTGGAGCCAGCAGGAGGCACTCACCCTGCGGTCCCTGTGGGTCCTAATGCCCCAGTATAGCGACGGGGACACTATACTGTAAACAGACGCCATCCTTCCGATGAGACGTAAAACCGAGGTCCTGTCTCTCTGTGGTCATTCAAAATCACAGGGCTTTTTAGGAAAAGAGTAGGGGTGTAACCCTGGTGTCCTGGCCAAATTTCCCATTGGCCCTTTCCAATCATGGCCTCCTTATAATCCCCATCTATGAATTGGCTACATTACTCTGCTCTCCTCCCCACTGAGAGCTGATGTGTGGTGAGCGTTCTGGCGCACTATGGCTGCCGTCGCATCATCCAGTTGGGGCTGCACACTGGTTGGTGGTCGAGGGGATACCCCATTACCTGTAAAGTGCTTTGAGTGGAGTGTCCAGAAAAGCTATATATAAGTGTAAGCAATTATTATTATTATTATTATTATTATTATTATTATTATTATTATTATTATTGAGAGTCAGGACCTCGGTTTAACGTCTCATCTGAAAGACCTGAGTATTACTAATACATAATCATACTCTTCAAAACCCAGCCAAGAAAACTTGAATTTGCATGAATTGAATAGAAAGGTTGTGTTTCATTCTTAATCCTAAACAAAACTATATAATTTTAAAATATGTATTTGTCATTTTATTTTATTTTTATTTTTCCTGTCAAGGAATCTGCAACTGGTTTCTGCAACACTAACACCTGACAACTGAGGTTATGTCAAAACCTTCAGGTTTTGAACATTTAGGTTTTGAAGTTCCTCCCAGACAGGAAGTGTTAAATTATAGTGATAGAAACAAGAAACCTTGAAAGTTAAATGCTTCCTCTGAGACTCATTTCACGGCCTGCAGGTACAACGCAGGGGATTAAAGCTATTTAACTTAACGCAGCCACTAGAGGGCGACATACTTTGATTAGTGTTGTTCACTCTAGAAAAATCTAATGTACAGAAAATCTGATCCCCGGTTCTTAGAATAGGATTAAGTGCTGTTATAAAATTAAATTAGCAAAATTCGTGATCACATTTGTAATTCTTAAAAAACACATGTATTTGTTTTCAAAACATAATAATGCTCTAATTGTAGACCTTAATATAGGATAGTGAAACAGGACTTTTAACAACATACTGTATGTTTTCTGTTTTCAGAAGTAGACACAAGGTGGAGACTAAGGTGTAAAAAGATGGTCAAGTGACAAAACATTGCAAAATGAGCAGCATGGAAAAGCAGGTTTTAGTTACATTTACTTCTATTATAATGCCTTATTCCACTTCACCAGCAAACACAATGATGCTTTAAAATAACATTGACATGCCTGGAATTCCTTCTAATTCCACACCCAGCCTGAATCATGCAATCTTGTCACTCTCATTTTTCATCATGACACAGAGAACACAGTAAACAGTAACCCTTTGGTATTTTCCATATCCAAGTCACTTTGGAGTGTATCCTGGTTTCAGTGGCCTTAAACAGAAGAGAGAGCCAGGCCATCATAGAGATTTCCCTCTGCAGTGCTGGTCCCCATTGATATACTGTAGCTGGGTGGACTGGAGTAATTGGGGTAAACTACCTCACTCAGGGAAACAGCAGCAAGCCCGTGGGGGAAGCTAAACCCACAATCTAGACCAGAGGCTTGCTCCCTTCCCCCATATCAGTTCAGAAACTTTAAAACAACTTTTATTTTTCCTACCAAAAACAGATACTGTACATTTTTAAAATATTTAACTTCACAGAGGGAACAGACTCACGGTCTCCCACACCAATATAAATAGCTATCCATTTCTGTAAGTGCTATCTTCTCTATCAAGTGGAAAGTGTGTATTATCTTGTTCTCATGCTGAAATTATTGCCTTTTTAATAACAGTCGTTACCCGCTAGAAACACGCAAAATCTTGAAGGGCAGCAATTTTCGGTCGGCTACTAGAGATTTGTCAAAGGATGCCTAGGTCAGAAGCATACTCAGCAATACACTGTATCTGGACTTGGTAGAGTATACCAGGCACGTATTAATATTAGAGTTTATAGAAACTGCTGTGGGTCCTCCTTCAGATTGGTTTGAGAAAGTCACAATGTATAAAAATGAATTCTTATGTTTTCAAAACCCTTTTCAGTAAAATAAACGTCTGTAGTTCAGTTGATTTCTTTGCCTGCAGCCTAACATTTTTTTTTCAAAAGCAACTTTCTTTTAAAGAAATAAA